CCACATGTCGAAAATGACCCGTCCTCAATCCGTGCAACTCTTGCACATTGTTTAAACGAATGCGCGCGGCGCTAAGGCGAGAGCCACATGTTGAAAGCGACCCGCCCTCCATTTGTCAAACTGATGCCGCTGCTTAAGATTTAAAACCAGAAATGGTGAGGAAGTCTCGAGCGAAACGCCCGACCTGCCCTAAAAACTTGCCTCGGGGTGCGACAGGGAGGAGTGTTCTATAAGGAGAAGGAATGGAGGAGGGGGAGGGTTTGGCACACCCCTCACACGTTTCGTGGCCCCATATGGATCTCCACCGAAGGCCCCAGCGGTTGAATTTACGTGCCGCCCCCTTATTCACTTTGGGTTCTCCCTCACACTTTCCGTGGCCCCATAGAGAGCTCCACCGAAGGTCCCAGTGGTTGTGTTCACATGTGGCCTCCTGTCCACTGTGGCACACCCCTCACACGTTTCATGGCCCCATTAAGATCTCCACCTCAGGCTTTCGTGGTTGCGTTCACATGCCGCCTCACATGTTTCGTGGCGGAGCTCCACCGAAGACTCCAGTGGCTGCGTGCCAATGCGGCCTCCTGTCCACTTTAGCACGCCCCTCACACGCTTCGTGGCCCCATAACAATTTCCACCGCAGGCCCCATTGGCTGCGTTCGCGTGCCCTCGCCTCCACTTTTGGCACACCCCTCACACGCTTCGTGGCCCCATAGGGAGCTCCACCGGCCCCAGTGGCATTGTTCGCATGCGCTTGTCTCGCCGAGCACAGCGCTTCGTGGCCCCATGAGAGGGTCCTTGCCTTGGTGGCCGTGCCCGCATGCGTTTCGCCCACCGCGTACGGCGTTTTGTGGCTCCATAGTGACTTCCACCGAAGGCCCCAGTGGCGGTGTCTGCATGCGCTTCTCGCGCCCAGCACAACGTTTCGTGGGCCCACAACGAGCTCAACCGAAGGCCCCAGTGGCTGCGTCCGCATGCGCTTCCCCCACCCAGTACAACGCTTCGCGGCCCTATAAGTAGCTCCACGGAAGGCCCCAGCGGCGGTGCCCGCATGCGTGTCGCCCACCAAGTGCAACGCTTCGCGGCCCCAGGAGGGCGCTCCACCGAAGGCCCCAGTGGCAGTGTCGGAATGTGTTTCCCCCACCCAGTATAACGTTTCGTGGCCCCACAGGGAGCTCCACCGAAGGCCTCAATGGCGGTGTCTGCAAGTGTTTCCCCCGCCCAGAGCAGCGCGTCGTGGCCCCATAGGGAGCTCCATCGAAGGTCAGCGGCGGTGTTCGCATGTATTTCCCCAAGCCAGTACGACGCTTCGTGGTCCCATATGGAGTTCTATTGAAGGCCCCAGTGGCGGTGTTCGCATGCTTCTCTCTCCCATTCGGTACAGCGCTTCGTGGCCCCACAGGGGGTCCACCGAAGGCCCCAGCGTCGCGTCCGAGGAGCCGAAGTAACCGGGGGGGGGTTCGACAGGGGAGGTCCAAGAGGGGGGGTGGGGTAGCTAGCTACCCCCCCCCTATTCGCAAAGAGAAGGGGGCGGGGAGCTTCCGGAACGCCACAGGAGGGCACTTTGACACATCCTTCGGACGCTTCGTGGCCCCATGGGGCCAAGTCCCCGGAGGCTGCGTTCACATGCTGCCTCGTGTCCATTTTGGCCTACCCCTTACATGTTTCGTAGCCCCATTGGGAGCTCCACCGAGGGTCCCAGTGCCTGCGTTCACATGCCGCCTCCTGTCCTCTTTGGCACACCCCTCACACGCTTCGTGGCCCCATAGGGAGCTCCACCGCAGGCCCCAGCGGCTGCGTTCGCATGCCCCAGCTTTGGCACACCCCTCACACGTTTCGTGGCCCCATTGGGAGCTCCACCGAAGGCCCCCGTGGCATGGTTCCCATGCGTTTCCCTCACCTAGCACAAAGTTTCGTGGCCCCATGATAGGGTCCACCGAAGGCCCTAGTGGCGGCGTCCGCATGCGTTTCCCTCACCGAGTACGGCGTTTTGTGGCACCCTGGGAGCTCCACCGACGGTCCTAGTGGCGGTGTCTGCGTGCGCTTCCCGCACCCAGCACAGCGTTTCGTGGGCCCACAACGAGCTCCACGGAAGGCCCCAGCGGCTGCGTCCGCATTCGCTTCCCCCACCCAGTAGAATGTTTCGCGGCCCCAGAAGGAGCTCCACCGAAGGCCCCAGTGGCGGTGTCCGCATGCGTTTCCCCCACCCAGTACATCGCTTCGTGGCCTTACAGGGAGCTCCACCGACGGCCCCAGTGGCGGTGTCGGAATGCGTTTCCCCCACCCAGTACAACGTTTCGTGGCCCCATAGGGAGCTCCACCGAAGGCCCCAGTGGCGGTGTCTGCATGCGTTTCCCCCACCCAGTACAAATCTGCGTGGCCCCATCGGGAGCCGCATGCGTCTCCTCCATTCAGTGCAACATTTCGTGGGCTCATTAGGAGCTCCACCGAAGGTCTCAGCGGCGGTACTCGCATGCATCTTCCTAGGCCAGTACGGCGCTGCGTGGCCCCATCGGGAAATACACCGAAGGCCCCAGTGGCGGTGTTCGCATGCCTTTCTCCCACTCAGTACAGCGCTTCTTGGAGAAACAGGGCGTGAAATGGAGGACGAGCAACAGCAGCATGAAGACTCTGACCATGAGAATCAAGGAGGGAAGAGTGAGGACGATGTGCAGGAGAGGAGGTAGGACAAGGATGCGGGACAACAGCGACAGGGAACGTGGGTAGAAGCAGGAGCAGGAAAGGTTGCAGCAGGATCATGATGATCAGGATGAGCATGCGAGGGGGATTCACACTGGGGAATGATGGCGGACGAGGAGGGCGGGGGGGGGGGAGGAGGAACATGGGGAAGACGAGCAGCAGGTTCAGGAGGACGAGGAGCAAGAAAGCGACGAGGAAGTTGCCGACTTCGGCCACCAGGGATCGATTCCCGTGTCCGCCCTGGAGGAGGGGTCGAGCCCGATTACCCGATGCCTCTCCATCCTTTGTCTGCCCTTCTCGCACTCCCCCCCCCCCTCCTCCTCCTCCTATGTTCTGACCTCCCCCCCTCCTCCCTGTCGCCTTCCCGTTCCCACCCTCTTCCTCATTACCCCCCCCCACCACTTCCCCCCCCCTTGGCGAGTACTTTGGTAATGGGCGGGCGGGCCGTGGGTCCACAGCGCGCGTTGCCTCCCCCTTTGACTGACGAGGATCAGAATGAGGATGAGGACGGGGATGAGGATGATGGTGACGGTGTTGATGATGATGACGGTGATGTTGATGGTGATTCAGGTGACGGCTCTGTGTGCAGGGTAGTGAGTGCCAGGGGTGGGCTTGGAATGGCGTTCTCTCGACTGCTTGCTCTGCAATCATTTGGCCCACAGGTCCTCTCTGTGTCTCATGGGTCTCCTCACGGCCTATTTCCACGCAGTAGTGACCAGTGCGGTGGGCAATTGGCTGAGCAGCTGGGCGGTTCCTCAGCCTCTTCACTGCCACTGTTCTGGAGGCTCCGTCGACGCGAGCCTCATCGTGCTGTTCCAGGAGCAGTTCAATCGGTGCGGTCATGCCGACGACGTGCCTGTCTGCCCGACGTGTCAGATCTGCCCTTTGCCAGGCTGGGGGACAGGGGACGTCGTGCTCGCGGCGGCGGCCGGGCTCGCGTTCGGAGGTGCTGCCGGGGCTTGCTAGGCGGGAAGGTGCTCGAGGCGGAGGAGAGATACCGCGCCGTCCGTGGCGCTAGACGAGACCAGCCCAGTCGAGACCCCTGGCCCGTCGATCACGCAGGTTGCTGGAGGTAGTGCTTTGGTTCTACGGAAGGGCAAAGGCCGAGGAGGAGTGATTATCCAAGCCCGAGATGGCTGTGCTGGCGCCGGGTTCGTCAGCCTTTCTATGCTATGATGGAGACGATCTGTTTCACGACAAGATCATCCCCTGCTGGGTGACGGCGAGTGAGTATGTGGTCTTGACGCCCGATCTGGACATGTTCATCGAGCAGGTGGATGCCGCCAACACCGATCTGCAGGCTTTCCAGCTGGGTGGCACAGACGGTCAGCTGCCCTTCGGACTGCGAGGAACGCAGATCTACCGCTTCCAGGCGCGGCCGAATCCGGGCGAGCTCGCCCAGCTGCTGGCCGAGGGCGAGCGGCGCGCGCAGGTTGAGAAGGCTGCGCGGGGGCTGGCCGCTCCACTGGGGGCCGCCACACGCTCGGAGCCGGGCGGGGTGGCGCCGGCCGCGGCGCCGACGCCGCTGTCCGCGGCGCCGCCTCCCCTCCGTTGCCGACCCCGCTGCCGTCATCGCGAACAACGTCATCGCGAACAACGTCATCGATGGTTGGACTAGAGCCGCGGGGTTCCCAGAGGTCCCTCGTCATCTACTACATAAGGAGGGGTGGAGGATGTTCTACAAGGGGCCGCACCGGCTCATCGAACGCATCGGGCCGAAGGAAGGGAGGGCTATGCTATGGGCATTGCGGCATTGCGTCGTCTGGCCAAGAACCCCCAGCATCATCGCCATCGTCACGTCCTCCTGCTCGACAATTTCGGGGTCTGGTGCGTTTCGATAGGGGCCGGTCTCCATCGCATTGTATGTTGCAGCTAAACCGTCGCCTCGCGGCTCTGATTCTGGCCGCGAACATCGGGCCGCGCTGGTGGATCCCGTCGGAATAGCAGCCAGCTAACGAAGCCTCGAGGTCCTTCGAGGGCTTCCCTCTGGCGCATGCTGGGCCCGTCGAGCGCGGCTGGGCGCGACGCCTCGGCCAGGCCGCCGCGGGAGAGCTCCGCCCGCGCGGCCCTGCCGAGCTCCGCGCCCCCAGCCCCCAAGAGGCGGCGGCTGGCGGGCCCCCCGCCACGGGCGGACCGCCGGAGAGCGCCCCGCCCCTGGCCGCCAGGGGCCCCCGCCGAGCGGCCCGCGGCGTGTCGGAGGCCTGCGGCGAGTCCAACCCTGGCGCCTACGCGGGCGCGGCCGGCGGCGGCGGCAGCGGCCCAGCCCCTGCGGCTGCGCGCGCGGCTCCCCGTGGCCCTGAAGCCAGGCCGCAGCAGCCCAGCCTCGTCTGTGGCGCTCTCCATGCGCGAACAAGCATTGGCGGCCGCTGGGACGCGCGTCGGCCACAGTGCGCACTCCGACGCGTTCGACGAGTTCCTGGGCGAGGAGGGCAGCGCGCCGACGACTATCGAGGACATGGAGGTCCGTGCGCTGCAGTTCCTCGACCTCACGCTGGAGGCGAAGTGCGCCAAGTCCGACGCGACCATCCTGGTGGCCGCGGTCAGGGGCGCCTACCCCTGGTGCGCGGGCTCGCAGTCGATGCCCCGCGTGAACAGGGGGCTCCGCGGCTACACCAAGCGCGGGCTTCCAGTGCCCCGAGCCCCCGCCCCTGCGAGCTCCTGGGAGCAGCAGTCTCCACGATGCCCGCGCGGAGGCAGCGGGGCGCCGCCCGCCAGGTTGCGACGACCTTCTTCGCGTACATCCGTCCTGGAGCGCTGCGGAAGCTCCGGGCGCAGCAGCTGCTGGCGCCGTCTCGCAAGGTGGGGCAGCTGCAGCTTGGGAGTCCGATCTCGGTTCCGACTCAGACGGGCCCAGCGGCGCCGGGCGACCCGCGGGGCCCTCAAAGAGAGCTCACCAAGACGGCTACCTCGGGCGAGACGGCGATCGTCGATCATCCAGCGTGGCTGGGGGAGCGCCTGGCCACGCATGTCCGTGCGAAGGCGCCGACGGACCTGATCTTCGCGGGGCGATCGTCGCGGCCCAGTTCGGGGTCGCAGCGAGGATGCGCGCCCCCCTCAGGTCTGCCTGCGCCAGCTTCGCCACGGGGGTGCGTCGGGCGACATCTTGTCTGGGCGGCGGGACCGCAAGACGGTGAAGGCCAGAGGTCACCGGGGGGCCGACGCGTCTGTGAATCGTCGCGGCAAGCCAGGAGCGGTGCACCAGCTGCCCAGTACAATGACGACGGCCCCCGGGGAGTTCGAGAAGCATATGTTCGAGCTGATGGGGCCCCTGTTCCTGGGCGCGTCCGAGGCCAAGCCCGCCCCCGCGCGGGCAGGACCATCCCTGGCCCCTTTTCCGTCCGCGGAGACTGGGGCCCACGTGGCGGCCTCGCCCTCGCCCCCAATAACTTTCGTTCTGGTCAGATCGTTGCAGAGCTTGTGGCTGGCAGCCGTGGCATCAGTAACGCTTGTAAGAGCGTGGGCTTTTTAACGCCAGCAGCTGGGATTTCAGTGACGCGGCCTTGGAGGATTGCCTGCGCGCTGACGTGATGTTCCGTTTGCGGTCAGCCGCCGCTCTTGGCGGGCCGGCCCCTTGCTGGATTGGCCTTGCGCGTGCTGCTGGGCCCCAGTCCCGCCGAAACCGTTCTGGTAGGAAAGGCTGGCCTGCGCCAGTCCGTGATCGCGAGCACCTCCATGGCCCCCCACGCCTCTCCCCCACAGGTCAGCGGAAGGTCCTGTAGGGTCACCGCCGAGCAAGATGGGCTGCCAGGCTGTTTGAGGCGGTCTCACGGCTTGGCGCCCCATGTGTGATTGAGAACCATACTCGAGCATGTTGTGGGATCTCCCTAGATATAAGCAGTTGCTCAGCAAGTTTAGTTCAGTTCAGATTGACTATTGTGCCTTCGGCACGCCCTACAGGAAGCGCACCACCCAGCTCTTCTCCCATCTGCCCCTGGAGGAGCTCGCAGGTGCCTGGTGCGTGGGGAAGAATGGTCGGGGTTCTCTGGCAAGGCCCATATAGAACTCGCAGGGCGCACCCCGGACAACAAACAGCTGTGGCCCTGGGTCGCCTCCGCCTATCCTCCCCAATTCTGCCTTCACATTGCCAGAATTTGGAGTTGTTTCTCGCCCACCCACCCACCCAGTACATGATATGGGTATGGGCCAGGACGAGGTCCGCAGATTGCTGCAATCGCGTAATGTGAAACCCCTTTTTAAATCGTTAGATCAAGCCGTGCTGCGTTTGCTGCAAAGACAGCCCACCCCGCCCACACTCATGGTTCTGTGTGCCAGGTAGTGAGTGCCAGGGTTGGGTTTGGAATGGCGTTCTCTCGACTGCTTGCTCTGCAATCATTTGGCTCACAGATCCTCTTTGTGTCTCCCCCCTCCGTCC